ACTCACCCCGCTGCTGCAGGAAAGAGCAGCCTGCTTCCCTAGCATGACGCAGAGGCTCAAAATACTGAGCTTTAACATGGCCCAGAAGCATTAAACATCAAAACCAAAACAGACAAAAATCCCCAGGGCTGGTCTTTTTAAAATCTCGATAGCCATGATTTCACTTAAATTAAATTGTAGAGAATGACGCGAAAGAGGGGCAGGCTACGCCGTGAAACGTGCTTGCGGAGGACAATGTCCTGCACCGTGGGCGGCTGGGGCCGGCCCGGCCGGGGCGGGAGGCGGGATCGCACGCCTGACGGTGCGAAACGAGGGAAGCAGGTCAGGGATGCTCTTTCCTGCATGAGGATGGCATGAATTCAAGAGGGAAATGTCAATCCTCTGTTCAAATTAGGCAAATTAGAGAAAACCATAACGGCACTTGGATTTTTAATTTCTACCAAACATCAAGAATCTAGAAATAGCTCAGAGTTCTTGGAAAGCAATTCCAGTTTGCCGTCACTGCAAGTCACCCACTGCTGCTGCCCGAACCAGAACCGGGAAGCACCTTGTCACGGACCAGTGTCAGGGACGGGGCTACACACAGACCCTCTGAGGGTGAAATCCTCCGCCTGAAGCGCCACTGAAGGAAGCCGGTTCATCTTCCTGAGAGAAGGGATAGCCCAGAACTCCCACACAGCACCAGGCATGACTTCATTATGTTAGATCTGAAAAACGAAGGAGAGCTTCGCCATCTGCTTTCCAACACAAAATTAGTGTCTTCCGCAAGTTACCAGGGAGGCAGGTAGCATGTGCTGTCACTTTGGACTTTGGATTCGCCTGCAGATGAGCGCCGTGGGAGACCGTGAAGGAGCTCCCGTCCGCTTCTTCCCAAGCTCATGCAATCAGGAGCAGCACGCGTCCTCCCGCCGCAAGTCAAAGGGAAGTTCGCAGGCAGGTGTCTGCAAGAAGGGAGGCCAGCTCCGGGGAGCAGAGGCAGGGGACTTCTGAGCTTTGGCACAGGAGAGAAACTGGGTTGTCTGTCATCACCACTGCGCAGCCAGCCAGTGGCCCCTGCTAACGGCCAGTGCTGGAGGCCACACAGCCTACGGGTCCCAAAGTGAATTCAAATACTTGTGGACTGCCGGCTGGATTTAAAGAAAGATATTTCATCTCATATGTCACCACTTTGAGCATCAGGGGACCCAAGGAACACACTTTGGGTGTCCCCTGATACCTGAGTTTTAGGCACAAATTTCATGTCCGTTTGTAACTCCAAGTCCACGTGGTCACCGGCAGGAGACAATCGGGCAAATGGGTTAAAAAGAAAAAAGGCCAGGGCCACCCCGGTGGCGCAGCGGTTGAGCGCTGGGTTGCGAAGCTGCCCGCAGCCTCTGTGGCGCCGGTTCGATCCCCGGCTGCTCCCCGGCCACCGGAGGAGGGTCCCACATGGCGCGCAGACCTCTCCTGCCGCCCGCTGCTCCCCTCAGCAGTGTACTTCGGTCCTTCTGCCTGCTCTGCTCCCCGCTCTGGCTCTGGAGAATTCTCTCACCCTCCCGCGCTTCTGACTGTACCCAGTGCTTGTATAAATAAAAATAAAAATAAATAAATCTTTAAAAAAAAAAAAAGAAAAAAGGCCAGATGGGCTCCTGACCCACTGAAAACTGCACTGACCGCCCCGCAGCCCCTGAAGCACAAGGACCGCGTGGGAGGGGTTTACACCGGTGGAGAGAATGGAAATCCCCGCGTGGGGATCCGGATCAGACGACGCTTCTGGGGCGCTTCCTGAGCAGATGGAAGCAGCCAAGCCAGTGATGACACCAAACTGCACAGGGAGACCTGCTGCCGCGCGTCTGGGGAAAGACTGTGGCTCTGCGGTCATCCGTCACCACCGTCCTTTCCAGAGCTCTGCCGCCTAGCAAATCCTCCTTCATCAGGGGACGAAACTTCTCAGCCTTTGAAAAGCCAGGAAATCCCCCCCAGCTCAACGCCAGTAAACATGGAGCAAGTGCCGTCCTCAGCTTCTGAGCCGCCAAGCTATACCGCGATTGTTGAAGCTAATTTTTCAACCCTATAAGCTACAGGGCCCTTCTCATTCAAAGGGATTTCTAATAAACAGCAGAAATAGACCATTTCTCCTTAGTATTTCTTTTTTTTTTCCTCCTTAATATGTCTACTGTCCCAAAGGTCATCCGCACTTGAGCTCAATCACTAAGTGACGCCGAGTCTCCCTCCCCAGCAAGGTTTAGAAATGGGCTCAGTTCCAGAGAAAGCAAACCACTCCTGGCTTGGACTGCAAGCATCCCCTCTCATGCACACTCGCCCCATCTCAACTATCCTGCTCCTCAGATCTCTGCCGGAACAAAGAGGACAGTCTCCCTCCTCCCAGCAGACCCAGGAGCAAAGGGCAGCAAGGGGTGGCAGCACCCCCGGACCACAGCCAGTGGACCCCTGTCTGCTTCTCCCCTTTTCCGTGTCAGCCATTTTGATCATTCAAGACGTATTCTTGCAAGAAGATAAATTTTATTAGCAGGCCTGAGGAAGTTGTGCAACGCAAGGAGGTGGCAAGACGTTAGCGGTTTCTCCTGGCACAGTGGATGCAGCAGCGTTACACACTCTGAGGAGGAAGCTCCGCGTTGTGGGTCTGGAGTCTGACTGCTCGGGGCCAGGCCAGGCTCTGCTGAGGTGGCGTGTCCTGGAGCAAGCGGCGGCCCCGCTCTGTGCAGCCTCAGCCACCAGGCAGGCGCCGGCTTGGAGGGTTGGTGCCAGCTTGGAGGGTTGGTGCCGGCTTGGAGGTGCCGGCTTAGAGGGCTGCGACTATCAAATGATCTAATGCAAACTTGGAAACAGTGTAAGTACGAAACCGAAACTGTAAGCTCCATGTTAGATAAAACTACTATGTGTACATTTTTAAATAATGTAATTCTGGGGCCTCCCTGGTGGGCAAAGGTCAAAGACCCAGCACCGTCACAGCCACTGCAGTTTGATCCCCGCCGGCCAGGGAGCTCCCCACAGGGCGCACAGGCCCCTCCCGGCTCCCCCTGCTCCCCTCAGCAGTGGGTTTCAGTGGATCCACCTGTTCTGCTCCCCACTCTGTCTCTGGGGAGTCCCACCCCCCGCACCTCTGGCCTGTGCCCCAGTTCTTGTATGCATAAATAAATAAATAAAGATTTAAAAAAACCCCAAGAATGTAGATCTGTGTGACTGGCTTGGAATAAAGTCCATGACAGTCTTTTGTGAAGACACGACGGAACACCAGGCGGACGGTGCGTGTTTTGGAAGAAGAACGCGCGCTGCACGGCTGCAGGTGCTCACAGGATCTAGACAACACACCCCCCACACTGCGCAGGCTTTGGGGTGCTCACATCTGCGTCCGGGTCTCTGCCCGAATGAACGAGCATCCTCCGCTGTTACACCTGCTGCTGCAAAATTAAACATTCTGCAGCGGCCTTTGTGACCTTCGGCCTCACCTCTTATTTCCAGGCCTCGGGACGCGGAAGGTCCTGAAGCGTCCAGGGCTCCCTCCAGTCCCTGACCCTCAGCACAGTCGGGCCACGCAGCAAGCTCACGGCACCCCGACACCCCGGAAAAGGGTTTCCCTGCCGTCCCTCCCGCCCGCCCCAGGAGCTCCTTCTGCATCCAAGGCCGCCCCGCTCCGCCCCTCGCGGGCCCTTCCTCCCGCGCTCTCGCCGGTTCCGCCCGGCCCTGCGCCTCCTGCCCGCGCCCCCAGCCTGGCGCCCGCCCCGGCTCCGGACGTTGCTCCTTCGTCCTGTAAGTTCCAGACGGGCGTCTGCACGGGGGTGTTTAGTCGGAACCGCCCCGCGCGCCCCCAGGGCCGCCCGCCCAGCTGCCCCGCGCCCGGCGCGCTCCGTTCCCGGCTCCCCTTCCCGGGCGTCCCCCCGGGGCCCCCCCCGCGCCCCCCGCTCGATGCCGGCTCGCGGGCGCACCCCGGGTCCAACCCTGACACCCGCGCGCCCCGGGACCCGAGCTTGGGCCGCGCGCGCGCCCGGCCACCTGCGCCCCGAGCCGGCGCGCGCCCCGGTCAGCGTCCAGCGCGCGTCGGCGGAGCCGGTTGGTCCCGGGCGAGCCAATGAGCGCGCGGGACCCGCGGCCGGGCCGGATGCTGCGCCCGCCGGGCGCGGGGAGGAGGCGCAGGTGCGCCCGGCCCGGCCCGGCCCGGCGGGGGGCCCAGCCCGGGGCCGCCCCCGCGCCCCGCGGTCACTGCGGCCCGGCCTGCCCTCGCCCGCCGCGCGCCTGCGGCCACGGCCCGGGAGGGCGGGAGCGCGCGGGGCCCGGGCTCGCGAGCCGGTCAGCGCCGGCCGGGGCGCAGCTGGGCCTGGGGGTGGGGGCTGCGGGGGGGCGCCCGCTCCTCGCGCGGCCCGGCCAGGCGGACCCGGGCGCGGGGCTCCGCCAACGGCCGCCCGCGTCCCCGCGCGTGGCCAAGGCGACCCGCCCCCGACGCCCGACGCGCCCCCCCAGCGCGGGTCACCGGCCCCGCCCGCGCCGCCCCCTCCCGCCGGGACAGCGCCCCGGGCGGCCCCCGGGCCCCACCGCACACCGGGGCGCCCCGGCCCCCGCGGGTCCCAGCGCCGGCGGAGCTGCCGCAGCGCCCTCCTGGGGTGCCCAGCCCGGCGGCTCCGCGCACCCCGCGCGCCCCGATGCCGCCCGCCCGGCTGGCGGCGCCGCGCCCAGGGGGGCCGTGTCCGCGGAGCCGTCCCCGCCGAGGCCTGGCGCCGGCAGCCGCGGGGAGCCCGGGCCGGGCAGCCGGGGCGCGGGGAAGGCCGCCGGGAGCCGGGGCGCGGGAGGGGAGAGCCGGGGGGAGCCGGGGGAGCCGGGGGGCCGTGGGGGCCGTGGGGGGCCGCGGGGAGAGCCGGGGGGCCTCGGGGAGAGAGGGGGGCGCCGCGGGGAGAGCCGGGGGGCCGTGGGGGGCCGTGGGGGCCGCGGGGAGAGCCGGGGGGCCTCGGGGAGAGAGGGGGGGCGCCGCGGGGAGAGCGGGGGGCCGGGGGGCGCGGGGCACTCACTCCGCGTAGCCGGTGGCCCAGGGCAGCCGGCGCGTCTCCTTGAGCGTGAGGATGGGCCGCGCGATGTGGTCGGCGCTGCACTCCACCTCGTCCGGCGACAGCCCCAGGAACTCGGGGCGCCCGTAGGGGAAGCGCAGCGGCAGGTCCGCGCCGCCGCCGAGCTCGGGGCCCGCGCCGCCGGCCATGATGCCGCCCATGAGGTTGGCCACGGCCGCCTTGACCCGCGTGAGCATCGTCCCGCGGCCGCGCTGCCCGCGCCGCGAGTGGGGCCCGCGCGCCCCCCGCTTCCACCGCCCGCCCGGCCCCCGCGCCCCGCCCGCCGCCCGCCCGGGGAGCGGAACTGAGCGGCGCGGACGCGGCCGCCGCCCGGCCCCCCGCGCCCGGCCGTCACGTGGGCGCCGGCCCGCCCCGCACCCCGCGCCCGCCCCGCACCCCGCGCCCGCCCCGGCCCCCCCGCGCGCCCCGCCCCCGCCCCGCGCGCGCCCCCCGCCTGCCGGGCCGCCGCGGGGGGCGCGGGGCGGGCACCTGGCCGGGCAGGTGGGGCGCGCGGGGCCGGCCGGGCGCGCTGGCGGGGGAGCGCTGTCCCCGCGCCCGGGGGCGAAGCGGGGGGGGGGGGGGGGGGGGGGGGGGGGGGGGACAGGGGGACGCCGGGGCGGCGGGGGGCGCACCTGCGGGACGGGCTCGCGGAGCTGCAGGACCCGCGGTCGCCAGGACCGCCCCGGACCCCCCGGGCCGCGCTTCCCCCCCCCCCCCCCCGTGCACCGCGCCCCGGGGCCCCCGGCGCACCCCGCGGCCACCCGGGGAGCTCGCGGGCGAGGCGGACAAAGGCCTCGGAGGGAGGCGGGCCCGGGACGCGGCTCCCCCGCCAGGCCGGGCCCCGGGGCGCCCCGACACTCGGCGCCCGCGTCCCCTCGCCCTCCCGCGCGGCCGCAGCGCCCCCGGGGCTCGGACACCGGGACCTCGACGCGGACCCCGCAGCCCCGGGAGCGGGGACTGCGCGCGGAGACAGGCCTCGCCCGGGAAATTTTGGGGTGAAGCAAAAATGTCTGAAGCACAGGCGCGCCCCGGCAGGAGCCGCGTGTCCGCGTCGGCGCCCGACCCCCTGCGAGCGCGGCGGCCGCGCGTGACCCGTGCCCGGCTCCTGCCCGCAGCCCCCGCCATTGCTGGGCCAGGACGCGGCGCTGCGCCGGGTTTCTGGGGCGCAGGAGGAACACAGGCCGCTGCTGCTTCTCGCGGTGGGGGGGGGCCGGGGAGGGGCAGCAGGTGCCGGGCAGGAAGGCGAGTCTCCGAGGGGGGCCGCAGCCCCTGCTGATAGGCCAGGCCCGGTGAGCCTCGCGGAGCCCCAGAGTTTCTCCCTGGCTGTAATGCTGTCCGTTTATTTTTTTAAAAGATTTATTTACACAAGCCCCGGGCACAGTCAGAGGCGCGGGAGGGTGAGAGGATTCTCCAGAGCCAGAGCGGGGAGCAGAGCAGGCAGAAGGACCGAAGGACACTGCTGAGGGGAGCAGCGGGCGGCAGGAGAGGTCTGCGCGCCATGTGGGACCCTCCTCCGGTGGCCGGGGAGCAGCCGGGGATCGAACCGGCGCTGCAGAGGCCGCGGGCAGCTTCGCAGCCCAGCGCTCAACCGCTGCCGCCGGGGAGGCCCCCCCTGTAATGCTTTTTGAAAGGGCGTTTCCCCCCCTCTGGTTTTTATACGAGGCACCCGGTTGAATACACCAGATGATTATGTAAAGCACCACAGTGTCCAGCCCTGCAGTGAAATCCTTTTCCTGTCAATTCTTTTCTTTCTTTCCACAGGACAGAAATGTAATTTTATCTTGGCTCTTCCTTTTTCTCTAAAAACTGGGGAGCAGGATTCTAAATGATGCAAAATCTAAATGATCAAAGAGGTTCTTCTCCACCTTTGGTTTGTTAAAGTGTGGACTTGGGTGGGGGGGCTCCCTGGTGGCGCAAGGGGTTAAGCACGACACTGTGAAGCTGTCCCCAGCCTGTACAGCATCAGTTCGATCCCCGGCCAGGGAGCAGCCCACAGGGTGCAGCAGACCCCTCCTGTCTCCCCGCTGCTCCCCTCAGCAGTGGGTTTCAGCGGATCCACCTGTTCTGCTCCTCACTGTCTTGTGAATCCCTTCACCCCACACCCCTGGCCTGCACCCCAGCTCTTCTACATAAAAATAAAATCCTAAAAAGAAAAGAACACATCCTACTTTTAGCCAGTTTTTCCTGTCTTGATTCTCTTATAATTTCTTCTCTTAATGCTTGTGGCCTTGCTCTGGCTCCGGGACACTGGCACACCCGTTTGCTCTTGTGGACCCAGAGCCGCCTGATCTCTAAGCTGGTCGGATGAGAAAATTCTCTGGCTGCATTCCAGACTTTGGGGGATGAACACCAGGCTGAACTAGTCCTCTCGCTGACCTGACTGAAATGTGTGAGAAGTGCCCGTGTGGGAAGCGTGTGCTGGTGGCCTGGCAGGGACACGGAAGCGCAGGGAATGCATCAAATGAGAAAACACACGGTGGCTCTAGAGCGCCGACTGAACGGACACACAAGCCAGCCACGGACGGGCTTCATGGACTGCATCTATTCAGACACGTAGGAAGTGTCTGGCTCTCGGACTTTCAGGGCTTACGTTGGTGTGAAATCCCAAGTACCCGTCCTTGGGGCGGATGTGTGAGTCGTGCGGCCCACACGAAGCTGTAGAGCAGGAAGCAGGATGACCACTCCGTCCTGACCACCTCGCACACTGATCACCCAGTAGGTCTCTGCGCATGTGGCTGTCATGTGCAACGCAGGGACTGGAAAGTGTAACAGCTGTTTACCTAGATCAATATATTTATGCATAAAATAAAATCTAGATTCTTGGTAGTGGTATTAAAAAGTATCCAGGTAATCTTTACTAGAAAAATACAGAACATCTTTGCTCTTTGCCCTTCTTTGTATTGTGTGATTTTACATAGTTTCTTTTGTTTTTGAAGATTTATTTTTATTTATGCACACAAGAACAGATGTGCAGGGGTGAGAGGACTCCCCAGAGACAGAGTGGGGAGCAGAACAGGCAGATCCACTGAAATCCACTGCTGAGGGGAGCCGCGGGGAGACAGGAGGGGTCTGCTGGCCCTGTGGTCAGCTCCCTAGACTGGGGATGGAACTCGTGCTGCGGTGGCTGGTGATAGCTTCCTAGTGCTGAGGCTTAACCCCCTGCACCTCCAGGGAGGCCCTGATTTTACACAGGTCTTATTGTAACGGTTAGGATTAGGGCACGAGGTACAATCTTTCAGAGCCTGAGGCTTCATAAGGTTTGAATTTGACTTGGGAATCGCCACTCATGTATCCCCCCAGGCAGCTCGCATTCAGCATGTCACAAACAGAATCTGTTCTCTTCCCAAGACAGCGTCCCTCCTGAGCCTGTACCAGCCCCCTCTGCAGTCTGGGAATCCTGGGGGGTCTCCTCTGTGGTTTCCTTTCTCATTTTCCAGGAGCAGTCTGTGCACCCGTCTCGTTGATGCTGTTTCCCAAATACTCTCGAGTTTGTCTCCTTCTGACTATGCTAAAGCTAAAATTTTGCCTGTTTTCTTTATTTTAGTCTATTCAGAATTTTTCCTGGTGTTCAGCGGAGCTGTCTTCACACAGCCGCTGGAAGGAGGTTTTTTTTTTTTAATAGAGGCATGTTTTTATTTATTTGTTTGTTTGTTTTGTTTAAACATGCTCTGTGTACAGTCAGAAGCGCGGGAGGGTGAGAGAATTCACCAGAGCCAGAGCGGGGAGCAGAGCAGGCAGAAGGGCCGAAGGACACTGCTGAGGGGAGCAGCGGGCGGCAGGAGAGGTCTGCGCGCCATGTGGGACCCTCCTCTGGAGGCCGGGGAGCAGCCGGGGATCGAACCGGCGCCGCAGAGGCTGCAGGCAGCTTCGCCACCCAGCGCTCAACCGCTGCGCCACCGGGGAGGCCCCGGAAGGAGCTTTTTAAACTCAACACCTGGTCACCTTCCTCCCTCCCCGGTGTTAAACTCTCCATTGAGCCACTGAGAACCCCTAGGCTGACCTTCCTGACCCTCCACTGGTGACCTTCCTAGGGACATTCCCTCCCTCCCCACAACTCTGGGACGTGGCTTGGCCCACTGCCTCCCTGTCTGAAACCCCACTCACACCTTCTTCTCTTTTGCCAGAAATGCCCCCAGCACATGCTCTACCCCTCCCCCCGCACCTAGTGCTAACTGCTGTGTTTTTTTATACCACCCCCAGTCTTCTCAGCAGTTAAAAACATTCTTCTCTGGATTCCCAAAGCACCTTTATATAACTCAGCTTACAATTATAGCCGCTCACATTGTGTTATAATTATCTGATTCCTGCAACGTAAGATGATTGGGAAAAAAAAGAGGTGGTTTCTTTTTTCTCTTTGAATCTGCCGTGTTTAGTGTATGGTGTACGTCAAATAAAGGTCGGATAAATAGATGAGTAAACTGATGACTGCCGTGGGGAAGAAATGGCAAGAAGTGTCTTGTCTAAAGCTCACGTTAGAAGAATTTTAGTGACATTCTCTAGTGAAAGAAGATGGAAGTAAACGGTTTATAAACCTAGGCTGGTGACCAGAACATCTTTTTTTTTTTTTTTAAATAATAAATTTTATTTTTATATTCCCCATACAATTGCAGCCCCCCCATTCTGACCCCAATCCCTCCCCTCCCACCCCCGCCCCCCAAAAAGTGTCTCTGGTTCATAGTTTTTTGTTGATTTTGATTTTCACTTTCTTATAGTTATTCATTTTCCTGGTCCCTTATTTAAGTTTTCTAGATTCCTGCTATGAGTGAGACCATCCGGGATTTTTCTTTTTCTTTCTGGCTTATTTCGCTGAGCATGATCCCTTCCAGCGCCATCCATGTTGCTGCAAATGGCATGTGTTTATCTTTTTTGAATGCTGAGTAATATTCCATGGTGTGTATGTGCCACATCTTCTTGATCCAGTCATCTATTTTGGGGCATTTGGGCTGTTTCCAAAGCTTAGCTATTGTAAACAGTGCTGCTATAAACATAGGGGTGCAGGTGCTCTTTGGAATTGATGTTTCTGTGTCCTTTGGGTAAATCCCTAGGAGTGGAATTGCTGGATCCTATGGAAGCTCTATGTTTAGTAGGTCCAGAAATCTCCACACAGCTCTCCATAGTGGTTGGACCAGTTTGCACTCCCACCAGCAGTGCAGGAGAGTTCCTTTTTCTCCACACCCTCGCCAGCATTTGTTGTTGC